CCTTTGCTCATCACTCCTCCTTCTCTGCAACTGGATTCTAGGAGTTCAGTTTAATGTTTAACTGTGGGTGTCTGCTTCTGCTTCCATCAGCTACTGGATGAGGGCTCTAGGATGGCATATAAGGTAGTCATCAATCTCATTATAGGGGAAGGGTTTTTAAGGTAGCCTCTCCACTATTGCTTAGATTATTATTTGGTGTCATCCTTGTAGATCTCTGGACATTTCCCTAGTGCCAGATTTCTCACCTCTGGGTTATAAGAATCTTGAAGGTAGGGCCCAACATGGAAGTATCAGTCTCAGGTGTTGTACTTCTGCAGCAATTCCTCCAGAGCACTTTGGGTGGGGGATGAGCACACCCACTGAGGGCCCCCTTCAAGCAGAGTGGTCTCTGAGAGCCCTCGTTTTATTTTTAAGGTTTTGTGCTCTATTCCATAATACATATGTGTTGTTCTGATGTAGGCATCTTCAAGTTTATTTAAGTGTAGAGTGTTTGCATGAACCTGTGTGTGCCATGTTCATGCCAGGTGCCTGAAGAGGTCAGAAGAGAGTGTGTTGCGTCCTCTGGTACTGGAGTTACAGATGATCATGAGCCTCCATGTTGGTGCTGGGACTCAACCCTGGGTCCTGTGGAAGAGCAGCCAGTGCTCTTAACTGCTGAGCCATCTCTCCAGTCCTTTCAAGTTTCTTTATTACTCCAACAAATACACCCACATTGAGAAGCCTGGACCTGGAGGACTTAGGCACAACGAGGCCCCACCCGATCCTGCATAGGGAAATCAGACACAAGTCTTTACCATGAGCTTCAGTAAAAATATGTTGAGCCCTTCTGTGGTGCTCACATAGATGCTGCAGTGTCAGAAGATGACGAGACTTCAGACAGATGTTGTTCTGTCACACAAAAGTTTGGAACTGGCAAGAGGCTTAGAGAGAATAATTCAGGTAACAGAATTGAAAGGAACAGTTATTTTCCTCCAAATTAGTGTAACTCTCTCTGATCATGCAGATGGAGCTATGAGTAGGGAAGGCAGAAGATGAACATTACAATGGCAGGAGCTGTGACTGACAGGCAACCTCCTGAGAGTGCTCTGTCCTACCCGCCAGCCCTCCTACTCTATTTTAAGAGCCACAGAAACCATGTAGGAGAGCTTGTTACTTGAAGTCTAGTTGTTCTTCCTTTAAGATTCAGCAGTGTCCAACTTTTTCACATTGTGGCAGACACTGTCATCTACAAATGTGTTAGACAACATTTATAATGGGATGCACATGCCCTGGGGCCACAAGCTGAAACACACATGCCTAAGTCAATGCTCTTTCTACCAAAGAAATTCGGGGATTTGTAAGCGGGAGGTGGTTCCGGTCCCATCACCAGCTGGCACAACCATCTAGCTGTAACTCCAGTTCCTGGGGATCCAACACCCTTTTCGGACCTCCATGGGCACCAGACACACACATGCACAGACATGTGTGTAGGCAAATACTCACACACATAAAATAAAATAAACAAAACTTTAAAAAGTTAATGAAAACAGCAGGGCTGATGATGTGGTTCAGCAGGTAAAGGCCCTTGCCACTAAGCCTAATGACCTGAGTTCAGTCCCTAGGACTGGCATGGAAGGAGGACACTGATTCCTGCAAGTTTTCCTCTGACCTCAAACACATAGCTCCCCACACACACCCACAATAAACAGATAAGCACGCTTACCTTAAAGTGAGGCTGCTCTGGTGGCATGCGGAGCCCCAGCTGCTTGAACAAACCAGTTGCTGGGGCCGTTGGCGTGGGGTGGGTATTTTTGCCAAGTGTCCAGATGGTGGGTAGAAATGCTTAACATGTTAGTTTACTGTCTAGTCATCATTCAGATCTCCCTCTCTCTGTTTAGACTCAGGAACCTTTCTGGTCTGTGTCATCAGATACATCATTCATGAGAAATTACCCACCCTGTGGGAGGACATAGGTGGCATTGAGGTAACTTTTTGGTGCTGTGTCTTTTTGGAGCCTGTTTTACAGAAGCAGTGCAGGACCATTTGCTTCATCCTGTGACATCACTGCTCAGTGTCAGTCTTCTTGATGTCCATGAGTCCTGGCTTCCAGTAACTCTCACAGGCTGTGACTGCTTTGCTAATGATGGCCACAAATGTCACTGTCACCCAGAATATCCAGGGAAAATATGAGTAGAAATGGATTTTCTGCTTGTGTTCAGTTTATCGTTTGAAGTTGTGAGCATGAACAAGGAACAGCACATCTTCTAACCAAGTCTTCTGGTGGGGCTGCTTTCGAGGCTTACACAAAGCTAGATTAGATCATAGATCTGCTGCCGGGCACTTGGCTCAAGCTCAGTGTGTTAATTCCCTTGCTCTTTTCACTACCACCCAGAAAGAGGGTGTGTTTATATTTTTAAAGAATTGAAGTGTGGAAACAAAACTGAACTGGAGCCGTTGCAGCAGGCCCCTGGTGGAGCTTCTGTGAGAACTGCCTGTGTCACACAGGGAGGGCCATGGAGAGCATCCTCCCGTCCAGGATGAAGACAATGGCCAAACCCCCAAATGAGGTTAAGCTGTAATAAACTTCAGAATCCCCAGCTAAGCAGGAGCACAGACAAAAGCTGTAGAAAGATCCATGTCTTCACAGTGGCAGCCAGGCTGGAGTGGGTTGACACCCACCACATGCTGCTACAGGAAGAAACTGAGGACAGCCAGCCCAGCACTCCCTTACTCTCTTCAGAGGGCCTTGTTACTATAGTTACAAGGATAGAGGGACAACAGTGGAGAAGACAGGGACTGTGACACCACACTAGGGTAGAGCTAGAGTACTCACCAAACAAGCACACAGGGCCTCTGGGTTTGACCGCCAGTACCAGAGAGAGGAACAGACAGACAGACTAACTACCCTTAAGGAGAAAAGGTTCATCTAGGTGCCTAAGAGGAGCTATGAGCTATGAGTTATTTTCTTACATGAAGGCTGTTTTAGTGGGAAAATTCAAATGGAAATGTTTAATAATCAAATAAGATGACTAAAACTAAACAAAGCTACTTCTACCATTTCCTGGTCATGAGGTTGTCCCAGAAACAGCTGTAGTAATTGGAGAAGCTGATCTTCAGGAAGGAGGGGAACTGAAGAGGCAGAGATAGAGGATGCTGCCCTGAGGGGCTCCACCACCTCCACCAAGGGGTTGGCTCTGCCTGAATGGTCAGGCAGTGGGTTAGGTGTTACATACCCAGGCTTCTCTCATAACTAGTGTCCAGTCCTCAGTAAGATGGTTCTAGAAACTGGTCTGTTGGTTACAAAATGTCCATCACTGATCTGTAGAGTCTTTGAGCTTTTATGCCCCAGGCATCACCTCCTCTCCTTCACACATGTACTGATTAGCATTGCAAGTCAAAGTGACCAATTGCTCTTTGTCCAACGACTTGGTATGTATGTGCTCTGTGCCATATGTCCTGTGTTAAATGATCTAGCACAGGACATTTCTCTTACTTTTTGCTAACATATGTTGATTGTAAAAAATAATGAGTTCCACTGTGATGTCTTCTCACGTGCATGTAATTTTCTTTTATTATATTTACTCGTCCTCCCCTCTACTGTCCTCACCCCTTCTGGCCCCTTCCTCTTCCCAAATTAGGACAGAAAGCTGTTTCAATGAACATCTGCTCATGCCTCTGGTCTCTGAAGACGCTCGCACTAACATGCACTTACCACACACACACACACACACACACACACACACACACACACACGTTCCTAATTAAAAAAAAAACTTACAGTTTAGTAACATGCCTCCAAATCACACACAGCTTGCAAAATGACACAGCACAATAAAAATCCAAGCATTGCCTCTAGATACCTGTTGTGTGAGTGAATGAGAGCAAGAAAGGGAAGGAGGTGGGGCCGAAGGAGAGCTTGAAAACAAGCATCAACTAGGATGAAAGTGTGCTCTAAGGTGTGTGGGGACCGCAGGTGGGAGGAGTTGGTTCCCAGGATCAGGATAGATCTTCCTCCTCCCATCCTCCCAACGGCATCCTTTATGCAACTGCCCTGCCGCTAAAGCATCGGGAGTTTTTCTCGTATCAGTGTATGAACGTGCTGAAGTACTTCTCATCCTCAAAACAATAATTAAAAACACATCACCACCCTTACCCGGCTCTCCTTCCAGCTGTTCGTGTCTCCCTTTATAGAAAATTCCTCAAAGTAGTCTCCATTCTGACTCTAGTCCCTCCCTCGCTTTCTCCTAAACTCAGTGGACTCTGAGTTGAACATCCACAACCCCACCCCCCCACCATACACATACTCTCACCAAGCCCACTAGTGAAACAGCTTCCAGGGAAGTCAGCAGCAGCAGCCTGCATGTTGCCCGGTTCAGTGCTCCAGCCCGGGTCTCACCTGACCAGCCGACCCTCTGTTTGACACCACTGTCCCCCATGGGGACACGCTCGCTCCTGAATTTTGCCTTTTTTTGTTGTTGTTTTTTGGGACAGGGTCTCACTCTGTTTCTGAGACTGGCATCAAACCTGTGTCAGTCCTCCTGCCTCAGCCTCCTGGGAACTGGGATTCTAGGCTTGAGCTACCTTGCCTGTCTCCTGATTAGTTTTCTGTCTCCACCTACCGCCCCGCCCCCATGCTTCTGGTTGTCTCCCAAATGTTGATCTTCCCAAGGCACGTGCCTGTTGAAAAGTAGCAGTTCTCCCTTGAGATTGAATCTGGACATGAGCCATGTGCTCAGCCTGCCTCTGCCACCTTGTTGTCCTCGCAGCACTTGTATGTTGCTTGAGAAGACCCCCCCAAGTGTTGACCTCTGCAATGTACACATCAGTCAAGCAGCAACCCTCTTTTGAGATTGAATATAGACATGAGCCAGGTGCTCAGCATCTGGATGAGAAGTCTGCCTGCCTCTGCCGCCTCTGTGTCTTGCAGCACTTGTATGGTGTTTGAGAAGATGGCCAGCCTCCCAGTCCCCAGTCACATTTCTCACCCATCCTCACCAGGTCCCGGGGATCTGAGTACTCACTGCATTTGGAGGCTAAGGGTGGGAATTTCTATCTCTCCTCTCCCTGGCATCCTCCAGGGCAGCCTCTGAGTCCAGATGTAGCCCTTCCTTTCATTCACTACCCCTATACTTGGCCTGGTTCCCTAACCTCAGCCCTTCTGAGCAAAGTGGGGGCGTGGAAGTTGGGTTTTCTTTTGAGCTCCAGCCTGGTCATCTGGTCTTCCTCTGAAGAGTGTGCGGTTTTACACTCTTCACCCCAGGGACTTGTTAGTCACGTTTGCCGCACAATGGGTACTCTTAGTGGGTGAAATGCTCTGTCTTCCACAGTGAAAGGCCAGCTGCAGAGTAGGGGAAGAACAAGGGCAGAATGATTTGATCAGACATCTGGGGACCTCCTGGCATTTGGAGTGAGTGCCTAGAGGAACTAACTATTCTGGCCTGAGGGAGCAGGCAACCATTAATCTTAGTGGATCTGACCGCTGTCTGCCCCAGAGGTCCCAGCCTGCTGTATGACTCAGAACCCTCAACACTCCCCCTATTCTTCTCTCACAGGAACTTTCGGGAGGCCCTTTCTAAGGCATTTTAATTTGGTAATAACTGACATGCCCCGCTATACGCAGGCTTGCTTTCTAAATGAATTGGTTGGCATTCATCATCCCAGATGCTTGACCACCTTGTACACCTAGGAAAAGCAGATTCCTGCCTGCCCTGCCTGTCTCCCACTCTCTGCACTCCATCTGGCCAGCAGGCTCTCCTCTCTCCAACCCTAGTGGAGCTGTGGGCAATCCAGTAGCCCTTCTTCAGGCACCTTCCAAGAGCTGAGAGCATGAACTAGGGAGAGGAAAGATACCGCCAGAGGCCCATCTGTTGAGCATTTCCTTCTACAATGCACTGTGTTGTGAATGGCAGCTGCCATCTGCCTTCCAAGTTCTCTGTAAACATTCTGGAATTCAGAAAGACCACAGACACTCGGGACAAGTCGGACAACCCTGAGGGCAAGGGTTCTGCAGACATGGCATGAAGGCCACAGCACTGTTACATACTTTCAAAGAGTGGGGCAAGGCCTTCTTGACCCTCATTTCTACCCGTATCCGGCCATGTCAACTGCTCCTTACTGGTGCTGGGTTCCAAGCCAGCTTGTGTGGTCATGTTGCTGGTGGTGTCACGTCAGTACTCCTGACGCAGGCAGATGTCAACTGCCTGGTCTTGGGTCTGGCTCTTCATCTTTTTGGGCCCCAAGAGTCTACTTGTGATGCTCGGTACCCACTCCCAGGGCTGCTGAGAGGAGGAACTGTTAGTCACTTCATCCAGAAGCTTCCAGTAAGTTCTGTAATTGCACTGACGTCTATATTTCATTTCTAAAATACAGTTGTTTACATAGGAAAATACATTTTTTCTTCTGCTAGAACCTTTAAGTTTGTTTTGTTTATCAAATAAAGTTTCAGCCCCTCACTTTGCATTTGCATTTCATTTGCATCTCATTGCTAGGAAAGGCTTAAAAATGTAGATTTCTAAAATTCTGTGTATACTTAACAAGCAGTCTCTTACATAAGGCCCTGGACTAGACCTCCATGGGTGAATTGGGCTTGACATCCAACAGATGATACATCAACATTCCTGGCTGTCCAGCAGAGACACACACCCACACTCCAGTCCCTGAAGGGGCCATGCTGAGGGCCAGCATGCTATTGAGCCACACCCAGGGAAATAGCTAGGCTCCAGAGAATTGCCCAGTGTGTGTGTATGGGGCGGGGGGCGAGTCAAGGTTGGGAATCAAAGCTGGCAGGTGACACAGCTGGCAGGGCCTGCAGTCCTGGTGTTCACTGGGTCATTTACTGACAATGTCCTGATGTTTTCTAGACTGCATGGGGCAGAACTGTGGTGGAAGGCTGTGACTCCAGCAACACACTGAACAAACACATCAGGATGTGGAAACCTGATGTTGTAGGATGATACAGTGATGGTCACACGGCCAAGACAAGGCCAGAACACAACCATCCAGACAGTGCTTGCATTCTGCACTGAGCTTCCTGAGATTGCCTTGTCTCCGGATCACAGCGAAGGGAGGCCATTGGCATCATTTTGGTTCTCAGAAAAATTATAGGGGTCTTTGTGTGCCTATCCCTGCAAAGTGAAGGCATAAGTGTGATCTCAAGAATTTGTACTGTAGTAAGAGACAGTTCTCCTGCGGTGGGAACTGCAGTACAGCTGGGAGCAGGTATAGGACAAGGATAGTGGGTAGGGAGACTGCCAGAGCGGGGCAGCAGGCAGCTCAGTTTGTGGGTCAGGAAATCACTCCTGTACAGTCCACATCTGAGTTTAGTTTTGAAGGGCCTGGCATTCTCCACAAAGAGGACCAGGAAAATTCCAAACTGCAGAGGCAAGCACCCTCAACTGAAAATCAGTCAAGGCATTCGTTGGTAGCTAGACACAGCAAATGTGTATCTGTGTCTATGTTCAGGCCACTGTGAATGGTCCCCACTGGGTGGATAAAAGCAGAGGAGACTGGGCACATAGGGACATGCCAGGAAGGTATGAGGGCCACTGCCTCTGAATGTGTGAAAGCCCTAGTAGCCGTGTCCAGCAAAGCCCCAGGTATTGTTGCACTGGTGATCAGGCTTAATACAAAGAATCTGTAAAACCAAGGGTGTTCCTTTTTCGGAGGCCACTGAGGAGCCTTTTTTATTGGGTTGTCTAATTCTCTTAGGAACTTGGTGGGTTTCATTTCTAAACCCTGCTGTGGAAAGAGCCTGAAGTGCCTATCTCCAGGAAGAGTGCTTAATTCCCCTTAAGTCCCTGTGGCTCTTGGTGAATGGATAATCTGCCCACTGCTCTAGGATCCGCAAGCTCTGACCTTCCTTCTCTCCCACAGGCCTGCCGAGCTAGCCACAAAGTACGCAAACTTTTCAGAGGGAGCTTGCAAACCCGGCTACGCTTCAGCCCTGATGACTGCCATCTTCCCCAGGTATGTGATCCTGTCCCGAGATGTCTGGACAGTGTGGGCTGTGGCTCAACTGTGTGAAACATCTGAGGGGGCTTGACCTCCTCCTGAGAAAATAAGACTGCTGTGAGTCCCCTCCTCTGTCCAGTGGTGCCAGGGGAAGGACTCTACTTTCACTGGTTCCACCCCGCCCACTCTGCTTTTGCCACGTTCTACTCCCACCCAGCCTCGAAGAGTTTTGCCCCGCCTTAGAGGAGAGAGATATCTGCATGCCTGGCCCCAGAAGCCAGCTATCCAGAGCCACCAGGCAAAGCATTGACACTTCTGGTCCTGGGATCATTGGTTTAACCAAGCTGGGCTCTACTGGCTGGCCTCAGGGAGACATATCCAAATAAAGCAGGAATGAGGAATGCTTCCCGAAGCTGTCTAGATGTTAGCGTCTTCCCTCACTGTCCACTCTGCGTCCCTGGTTTCAGGCTTCCCAAAATAATCTGTGCCTAGTGTAGGAAGTTCCATCTATCAAATGCTTTTATCAGGAATAGGGGCCGAAGAGCTGAAATTGTTTTACCTTGTCTGGGAGCTTCAGACCTAGGTTGAAGAAAGGGCTTCTGGACACCAAGACGTAGCACTCAGCCCTCTGGAATGCTGGGAGCATCTCTGCTTTCTGAGGGAAGGACTTGCCTCCTATCCTTAGCAGCTCAGGACATATAATACATTTTTACTGAGGGATGCTGAGAAGCAGCTGGTACCAAAGCAGATGCAAGATCTTGTCCCTTGGGATTCATGTTCTCTCATCCATTGTGAGCAGTCCCACCTAGATCCCTGTGAAAATCAGGGGCTAGAGAATCTGGTGTTCAGATTGGTTCTCAGCCTGGGCTCTGCCTTCTGAACTGACTCCCACCGCTTGCATCCTGTAGCTGTTACTGAATCCCTCCAAAGTGTATTCTCTCTTCTTACATAAGCTGCTTGACTCCACCCGCTAGCTAGACACTTGTGAGTTTTCCTTGACCTAGACATAGGTTTCTTATACCATTCTAGTTGAAAGTAAAACGTGTGTGTGTGTGTGTGTGTGTGTGTGTGTGTGTGTGTGTGTGTGTGTGTATGCGCGCCCGCACACGCGTGCACATCTGTGATAGGAGTGTGGCTCTCCATCCTTTCCCCAGAGACAGACACTATCATCATACATGGAAATATTTTATTGTTCTGTAGTTTACTTTTTACTCCTAAAAGTTGTGTTAGAGATTACTGCATTACTACAATACATGGCTCCATTTTTTTTTCAAATGTTTTCGTTTATTTTAGGGATGCTGAGGGCTAAACCCAATGCCTGCCCTAAACTATCTGCTCAGCACCTGTATCTTTTTTTTTTTTTTTTTTTTAAAGAAAAAGTCTTACTATGTAGCCCTGACTAGCCTGGAGCTTGCTGTATAGATCAGGCTGACCTTGAACTCACAGAGATCCACTTGCCTTTGCCTCCCAAGTGCTAAAACCCATATCATTTTTAAAAATATTACATAACATGATTGTATTCACATATCAGAATTTTGTTCAGAATATTTGTTGAAGTTTAAATTATGTACAATAAAATTTGCCCTTGGGTATCATTCTGAACTTTGACAAATTTGGCTATGTGAACACAGCAATCAGTGGCACATACCCATCTCCCTCGGATTCCCCATGTTGCTTTTTGGTGATCTTCTCTTCACCCTCAGCCTCAGGCAACAACTGCCCCACTTTCTATCCCTGCAATGTTTCTAGAATGCCTTATGAGTGGAACCAGAGTATGTAGCTTTTTGAGGGAGCTTCTTGCGTTTGGTGTGATATAGTCACAGTGCAAGCATCTGTTGTATATACTAGCAGTTTGCTCCTTTTGGTTCTTGAATAGTATCCCATAACAGAGCTGTGATGCTTCTGTTCACTCAGAAGTCAAAGACATGTAAGATAATTCCAGTGTGGGTCATGCACATGGCTTAAGGGGCAGGAGAAAACTTAAAAAACAGTATGGGTTTTGTATTAATGCGTATATTCACCTTCCATAGTGAATACCTTGAAGTGCAATGGCTGGGTTCCAATGTGTGGCTCACTTGTAAGACACTTTCAGTGTGATTATACTAGTTTTCTGTAACACCAACTGTAAATGACAGTCCCAGCTGTTAAACATTCTTCTCTGGCTGGAGTGGGAAGGGATGGGGAGCAATGGAGGTAGGGGCTGTTATTCTCTCAATGTCTTTACAGGGAGGGATTTTTAATATTGATGGAGTCCAACTCATCACCTTTTTTTTTCTTTCATGTATTAAACTATGGGTGTTGTGTCTAAGAAATATTCTCAAACACAAGGTCAGAAAGGTTTTTTTTTTTTTCTTTCTTGTTTTCACCTGGAATTGTTATGGGTTTAGCTCTTGAATTTAAGCCTCTGACCCGTTTAGAGTTCTTATTTGTATATAGTGGCATGTTAACAGCTTAGGATTTCCTTATTTGCATATAGGTGTCTGTTGGTTCCAAAATGGTGTCAGCAACCCTGACAATGCACACCTGCACATACACACATATGCACGAATGCACACGCATATACCTTGATTTTGTGGAAATCATTCAATTACTGAAAATCAGCTGACATGCATTGCTATTTTGCTGATCTTTGTCTGTCCTTGTGCTGACGTCACACACAATTGGACAGTCATGTCTTCTGTTACTAAAGACAGTTTTACTTCATCTTTTCCAGTATAGTCACCTCTCCTTTTTATTTTATCTTACTTATTATCGTGGCGTGTGTGATGGGATAGGGCATACCACAGCATGCATGTGAAGGTGAGAGGAAAACTTGGGAGTGGATTCTCTGCTTCCACCTTATGTGGGTTCTGGGAATTGATTCCATGTTCTCACATTTTGCAGCAAGCACTTTTACCCACTGAGCCATCTCGCTGGCCCCAGTGCCTCTTACTCTTCTTTTTTTTCTTGCCTTGCAATACTAAGTGGACTCTTCAGTATGATATTAAATATGATTGTTACATTGCTAGCAGTTTGATCAGCTCACCCTTCGGCCCATCTCCCATCTTGGTCCACTTGAAGTCAGCCCCCATTCTGAAGCTCTCTAAGCGTCTACCAACAGTCTCTTCATTAGAATAAAAGATGTTCCTGTCACCCTCAAAATTCCAAGGAACTTGGAGTTCTATGTCAGATGTTCCTGTCACTCAGAAAATTGCAAAAGTCTTAGAAACTCTGGGTCAGGAATAAGCACCAAAGACCAACCATTAGAGCAGGAGACCTCTAATATCAGAGCAGAAGATCTCCCAATATCAGATCAGAAGACCTCCAAATACCATGGCAGAAAACCCCAATATTAGAGCAGAAGCCCCCCAGAATTGGCATAGAAGACCCCCAGAACTGGAGTAGAAGATCCTCAGATTGGAGCAGAAGCCCCACCCCAAGGCATGAGAGTTGGAGGGCTTTCAGGGAAGAGAGGTTCCTCAGGAGTGGGAGAGGAGGAGAGAAAGAGTGATCTGGAGCTGAAATGATCAAACTACATTATATACAAAATGTGAAATGTCAAGGAATTAGAAACAAGTTTTAAAATAAAGGGGAAATATCCCTCTAGTGTTGTTATCTTAAAGTTTTTAGGAACCAGGGACAGAGATCTAAAAAGATAAAGTTACAGATACATATTTTTTTTCTAACTTCCCTTAATGAGTTTTCTTTGACTCATGAGCTCTTTGAATGTGTTGCTTGAGTTCTAGTTGTCTGAGGGTATGTGTGTGTATAATCACAATATACTTTCTATGATTTTGATACTTTTTTTTTTTTTTTTTTGGTTTTCTCTGTGTAGCTTTGGAGCCTATCCTGGCACTCGCTCTGGAAACCAGGCTGGCCTCAAACTCACAGAGATCCGCCTGCCTCTGCCTCCCGAGTGCTGGGATTAAAGGTGTGCGCCACCAATGCCCAGCTGATTTTGATACTTTTAAATGATTGAGATCTGAGTTATGAGGCAAAATCTGGTCCATCTTGATGGATGCTCTTGAGAAGAGAATATTTGCTATTGCTGGATACCCAAAGGGGCCTTAGATGAGCCTGGTTGATAGTGTTTGTCAAGCTGCCATGTCTTTACTGGCTTTCTATCCACTTAATTCTGACAGGAGTGTTGAAATCTTCATTCATCAGTTTTTGCTTCATTCAGTTTGAAGCTGTTACTTGGTTTTTATACACTATGGTTATCATATCACCTTTGTTGATGTCTAGATTCTGTTGTTATTTTGAAATGTTTCTTTTTCACTAGTAATAATCCTTGTGAAGTTTTCTTATATAATGTCAATCATTATAACTGCTCCACTTGATTAAAATTAGCTTTACTGACTCCTTTGCACCATCCATATATGTATGAAGGAGTACACGTTTGCTTGCTCTTGAACTGTTGCGTATATGGTTGGGACAACAGTTCATCCTTGCTTTTAATCTACTGGTGTCTTTATGTCCTCATATTTAAGATGGGTTTCTTGTAGCAGCACATAGCTAAGTTTTGCTTTTTAATACAATATAACAATGTCTGCCTTTTATTGGAATGCTTCTAAAATTACATGCCAACAATAAAATTATAAAAGCCATCAATATGGTTGTGCCTTAATCTGCTGTCTTACCATTAGTTCCTGTTTGTTTCTTTCTTTTCATGCCTCCTTTTGGATTAATTGCTTACTATGATTTCATTTTGCCCTCTCTGTTGGCTTAATTAACTGTATTGTTTAGTTTTGTTTGTAATGGATGGTTTGTATTTTATAAGGTACATTTTTAATTTACAATTATTTTCAAATAACATCCATGTAGAATATAACAACCTTATGTAATATCTTTCCATTCTTTGTGCTGTTTTCTCACACACTTTACATCTATTTATCCATCTATCATAAAGGAAACATCAGTATTGTTTCCTTGATTTCTTCTTGACACACACATATACACATAACTTTAAAAATACGATATTTTAAATACACAAAGAATTCTTAAAATTCTTCAACAAAAAAGAGCTACTCTGTTTT